TTACAACCACTCCTGGGGTCGCACCTCAGTCCCCAGGACATCGGCCACAATGTCAAGACCTGTCCCAAGAAGTGGGGACGAGCTTGGATGAATTCGGTGGTTCAACATGGTTTGATATGGTTTAACATACTTCGAACACGTTTCAAGTTTCAACCTGGCTCAGGAATTTTGGGGCACACCTGGGAGGTCGTTCATTTCACAACCACAGAATCGGATTTTGCCTCTGAGTTCGCCTGAATCGTTCCAGCGAGTTGAGCTAGTGAAGCAACTGTAACCCAAGGGTTCAAACCGTGCAAGGGGAAGTGTCGAAGAGTAAAACATTGCAGGCGGATTTTAAAACATGGACATTTTTCAAGTAGTCCTGAGTCATGAATTTACTTCATGTCATTACATAGACACCTTTGAACATCTTTGAACAAATTCGGACTTCAAATGTGCTCATTGTGTAACGATTGGGTCCCAGTTGACACATCCCGCAGGCCTGCAGCTTTCATGGTGGTACCAGTTTCGACCAGGTCAACCACTGCCTGAGGAATGCAACAATCACCAGGATTTCATCATGAAAATTTACTCCTCACATCTCATCACTTAAAACGCTCGGAAAATCCCAACTGCAAGAAACTTCTGAAACCTCATCTGGGAAATCCCCCAGAGAATGGATTAATCTAGGAAAATCCCTTCATATGTGGTAAACCGAATGCCTAAACCTACTATTTGGGGATGTTTTTACCACCCACTTATGGGAATATTCAAGATGGTTTATCGGTATACCCCTAGCAATGGGAGGAAGTAAAATGAACCCCAGTCGTGGTTGGTTCATGGGTGACTATGGCATTGGGTTTATCACATACAACATCCCCATATCATGGTAAAGAAGTGGGCTATAGCCACTTGTAGCCATTAGTCGGATGGGGATCAACCCAATGGTAAACACTGGTTTTTATCATGGTAAATCTATGGCATTTGGTTTACCTGGCAATTTACCATTATATCACTGATAAATTGTCTATCCAGCTTCAGCTTCAGCTGAGTTGCATCAGCCAGGCCCAGCCCGCAAGCTGCCTCCACCGATCCCGAGACTTCCTGGACAGATCCAACGATCCAACGACCCTCCATATTGTAGCATTAACATATCATACCATCATACACGATCATACTCAATCTTGGATATCAATGTAAATTATATTTAATGTAAAGACATCGATTACACTATATTCAAAAAAAGTGATGTCTACTGTATATTATACACCTATATAATGTCCTTTAAAAAAAACATAGTAGTCGCATGTCGTCCCACCCGGACCTTGATGTAAGTATCGTGCCTGTCCTGGAGCAGTTGGTTTGGTGAGATCCACAAAATCCAGTGGTTCATAACATGTTTCCTATGAAAGTGGCCAAAAACTGCCAAAAATAAATTGTGTGAGAAGAAGAGGAGGAGGAAGAAGAAGAAGACGAGGAGGAGGAGGAAGATGTTGTTGCGAAAAAGTTGTTGGTATATGTTCGTCGGAATCCCAACTTCGATGGCCGAGGTGAATGGACCGTAAAGAACCGTACCCGAGATGACCCGAGTTGTAAGGTAGGTGATGCCCTTCAAAACATATCCTCCGGTAATCAAACACATGGCAATGGGAAATTCCTCATTTATAGATGTTGTTCATCAAAACCTTCATTTAGTGCGGGGATGTTCGGGGATTTTCCAGCCGGCCATGTTTGATGACACCCATCCGCCACATCCTTTGCCAAGCCATCGAAGAAGCGCTTTGTCAGTGAAGGGAAGGAGGTGACAACGCGCTTGCCGACAAAGTCCTGGTCGAAACTGGAGGACATGGGTGGAATCTATGAATGGAATGGGATGGAATGGGACACTTTGCAATGACTTGAGAAGATGGAGTCTTTGAAGAAAACACCTATGTGGCAAGAAGCTACGTTGGATGGACTACTGTCATGTACTCTTCAATGCCAACAAAGCACTGCGCACATTGAATCACAAGTGAACCTCAAATTCTAGGACGCGAGCAATTTGTTGCTTTTCAATTGCACATCTAGCGGCCTGCAACTAAGTACAGTAGAATTACTGATGTGCAGCTGAGCTTCTTTGGCCGGTCTATCCTGAGTAGTCAAGGGGGTCGGATCAATTGAGCATGAAGATATGAAGGTGTATCAATATGTACACACATGTACACACTGCACCCCATGTTTAACGGCTCATAGAGTTCAAGCCAAGATACAGCATATCGGCACATCACAATCATCACATATCCAAAATATAGTTGAGATAAAGCCATGTCAACATAACATGCCAGTTCTGTGCGCAGTCAGAGATGAGAACATCCAAGGGGCACAAAGATGCACCGGCGCTTGCAGACAGAGTTTGCACTTTCCGATGCCCAACTTCAGCACCACCTCAACTGGTGCATCGTCGTCCAAGTATCCGGCCTCAATCCTCAACGGGAAAGGATAGGGAGCATCTGCCAAACCTTGCTGTGATTTTATTGCTCCATTGCTAACCATCAATCATTAATGATTAATTGATGGTTATCATTGACATTCATTGACCATATATGACCGTATTCCATTGATAACCACAAATAACCACAAACAACCACAATAACATTTATCAGGGTGGCTTCCAACAGCCCAGGTACCAGGGGGGTATATGGGGCAAATGTAGAGGTACCAGTAGTACCGCACAAGGCGGTGGCGGAAGTTTCAAAAATAGGAAACCTATAGGAGAGGTTGGTTGGTGTGAATCAGGGATGGCAGAGCGAGGCCACTGATGGACCGAAAGGTGCTTGAGGTCTGATCTCTTTCTCTCTCTTTCTCTGACTATCTACCTACCTACCTACCTACCTACCAATCTATCTATCTATCTACCTACCTACCAATCTATCTATCTATCTATCTATCTACCTCTCTTTCATCTAATTGCCTATCTATCTATCTATCTATCTATCTACCTACCTGTCTATCTAGCTCTCCCTTTCATCTGTCTATCTGTCTAGCTGTCTACCTGTCTATCTGTGTTGCAGTGTCATTCAGTGTAATGTAGTGTGGTGTAGTGTAATTTAGCGTGGAGTGTACTGGAGTGTAATGTAGTGTAATGTAGTGTACTGGAGTGCAGTGTAGTGTAATGTCCTGTAGTGTAGTGTCTTGAAGCGAAGCGACATCTGAACCTCCAAAAGTGGTCCGAACCCCTAGTGTTTTGTACATTTTGACGCCACAACGGCGTGCACTTTTTCGACATCCGAACCTCCAAAAGTGGTCCGAACCCCTGGTGTTTTTAACATTTTGACTTCGAAATGTGCTTCGCGCCACAACGGCGTGCACTTTTTCAACATCCGAACCTCCACAAGTGGTGCTTTGTGCATTTTGACTTCGAAATGTGCTTCGCGCCACAACGGCGTGCACTTTTTCAACATCCGAACCTCCAAAAGTGGTGCGAACATGTGGTGTTTTGTACATTTTGACTTGGAAATGTGCTTCGCGCCACAACGGCGTGCGCTTTTTCAACGTCCGAACCTCCAAAAGTGGCGCGAACATGTGGTGCTTTGTACATTTTGACTTGGAAATGTGCTTCGCGCCACAACGGCGTGCACTTTTTCGACATCTGAACTTCCAAAAGTGGTCCGGACCTGGTGTGTTTTGTGCATTTTGACTTGGAAATGTGCTTCGCGCCACAACGGCGTGCACTTTTTCATCTCTCATCTGGCCTTCTGGCTCCGCACCCGCCGCTTTAGCGAGCCTACTTTTCGACCCTCCGGAGCCTCAAATCATTGGAAAAACACAGTGTTTTGCGACTTTCCTACCTTTCACGCATCTGCATCTTCTTTCTTCTGACTCTTTCTCTTCTACTCTTCTTTCTTCTAATCTGTCTCTTCTCTCTGCCTCTTTCCTACTCTGCTTTTCATCTGTCCATATTGTCGGAAGTTTGACTTCTAAACTTCCTTCGATAAGGTAAAATTGCTAATTTCCCCCTCTTGTGTCTATCCGGAGCAACCTCAATTATTTATTAATTCTTATTGACCATTAATTGACCATTTATCATTCCGTTAAATAAACATGACTAACATTTAATAATCATTTAACAGCATTTAATGACCATTGATAGCCAGCCCACTTGGTGTGAATCTCTGCGCACTGACTTCACTCCCAGATTTCCCGATTTCGTGGCCGAACGTTACCATCCTCTCATCCAATATGTAGTGTCCCTTTTTTTTCAGCGGCCCACTATGGCAACTTTGATTCGCGAATGCTTATCTTCATTGGATTGGTTTAAGGGAAAATCTACAGGAAACCATGGTTTTTACCATCAAATATAGGGCGTTCCTGTAATTTTTCCCATTATCCAATTCTATGATATCTGCCAAAGCTCATTGCTTCTTCGAGCATGTCGCTTCCAGAAATGCCAATGTCCACGTTGCCTTCCATGACCTTTACTCAGATTTCGCAAGCTCTGGCTGAGCAAACTGAGCGCAAAGTGCATCTGATGCTCAAGTGATGCTGACTTGAATATAATGTGCATATATAAGCAATACATAGCAATACAGTAACACACCGCCATATATCATGAACCATCCTGACTCACCTGCACTGTTCTTAACCTCAACACGCCACAGCAAACTAACGATAATCTTTGGAGCCAACCAGGGAACCAGTCATCCAAGTTACATAGCTTGGGATGTCGGCTGCAGGCAGGAATACCTGAGTAGCGCCAGTGATACGCAACATCCAGACTAATCCGCCTGCTGAGCGGAGTGCAACCAAACTGCTTGCAGACATATAGTAATGTAGAATCTAGAATGATGTAATATGAGGGGAACAAATATTAGTGATATCAGTGGCGCATGTATATACTGCAAAGAGATTAAGGAAACAAATACCACCCGTCCCCATTCTGACAAGTCTTGTTTGTGCATTTCAAGTTTCACCACCTCGCAACCAGCACACCAACCCTACCATCCCCATAGGTATCCAGTGACCAGCTTGATTGGGAGATCCTTGCACATGGCCACATCCAAGCGATCTGGACGTTTAGCGTCGAAGCCTGAACCCTTCAGAATCTTCATGACCTCAGCAGAATGGGATGGGATGGGCCCGCAGTTGATGGCAAAATGATGGGAAGAATCTGGGAAAATGATGAGAAACCCATGAGATGTTTCGGTGCCTGGAGACTGGCCCAATGGGCTGAGACTCGCCCTTCTGTTTCCACGAAATAGATGATATTTTGCGACAAAAATCCACCCAAAATGGCCGTTTTCGTTGAGGAAATCATTGGGAATCAATGGCCCAGTATGGCCCAGTGGTTTTTTGGGGCTCCAAAAACTGGTTGGTTTAGTCCGAGGGGTTGATCTCGGCAAAGATTTCTGAGGCACCACACATCTTCGTGGATCCTGAACCACTCATGCGGAGCTAATGGTGCAGTGTGCATGCCATCATGTCACCGACGATTGCTATCATTGGCTAATGTAAATCAATGTCAATCTCCTGCTAGTTCTACAGTATCTAGTGATGTTTCTGGCAACTTTCATGAGTTCAATATAGTTCAATGCTAAGGGCGAGAATGTGGCTTCCATCTAATCATGTTCCGCATATGTTCATATAGTTCAATATAGTTCAATATATTTCGCATCATGTCTCCCCACAGCTGGTCCTTCCCTTCTTGGGGACGGCAAAGAGGACGGTGTCCTTCTCTATGACTCCAACAGGCATGGAACTCTTTGCCGGGCTCCAGCTCCTGGAAATGGTGATTTTTGACAGATGAAAGCAGTTAAGTCCCAAACAGTAAGAGCTGTTTGTAGCTAAGTCATGTTTTTTGAAGTTGGCAAGATGGAGATCATCCATCTGCCAGGGTATTCCAATTGACAATCGGCCAAACATGTCATGTGCACCACAGCCTGAGCCTCTGACTGACCATTGTCGTAATTTGGCGAAACTCCACGGTATCCCTCCATCGAGCAATTCTCTCCTTGGTTCGGCACAGGGCTACAGCGTCAACTTGAAAGCCCTCAGCACGACACAATACTGCCTTTGTATTTACATGGTTTTACATGTATTTACGTGGTTCTATGCCATGCTTTTGGCCCCGTTACTTTTCACTTATGTACACCAAGTAGGATTTTTTTGACTCCCATGGTCCCGTTGCCAGATTCATGGTGATTCTGAATATGACATCCTAATGTTGCTGTGCGTCTTTCCTTTTTGGATGTTTCAGTGATTCTTACTCTTTCTACCCTCCCGTAGTCAAAGCCGGCGTGCAGCAAAATCACAAGTTTGTAGCCCATTTCATTTGCCTGCTGAAACTTAGATGATTCTTCATGGCCAGATAACATACCCATCATTAGATTACCGGAGGGATCCATAGGGTGTTGCAATGTTAACTTTTAATGTGGACCAATAAGGAACCCCAATTGAGTAGGGTTCATAATCACGCCAAATGCTAAAATTACATGGATTACATGGATTACTACTGTATTTGGTTGGGTTTTAGGCAATGGACAACGCGGACAAACTTACATTTTTTCTGTCGGTTCCAGTTTGGCAAACCGAAGAATCATCAACCAGCAATCCCAGTTGATTGAGCATGGCGTATAGTGGCCCCCTGTATGAATAATTAGTACCAGAACAATGATACTATGAATGATATGTGATGCTAAAGATGATAACAGGGCTAATGATGATACTACTGACAACAGTTAGAATATAATCACAACATCATCGCAATCGTAATAGTGCCATAGCCACAATAATAACAAACATAACATATCATAACCATCATATCTATCATAACTATCAACGATAAACTCCGGGCCAAGATTCCAAGAACTGCTCCGGGCGCCAGGGCAGGGCCCGGTGCGGCCGAGGGGGCTTGGCCGAAAAAACTGCCACGGTATCAAGGCTTGAATCAAATTTCAAGGAATTTTCCAGATACAAATGATTTTCTTATTTTTTGATATTTTTTCTGGGAATTCCAATTCCTATGTCCTATATGAATTATTGGTGAAGGGAAAATCCCATCTCTTGATGCATTGCTGCCAATCTGGATTTCTGGCACAAACATCTGCTTCCACGTTCCCCACTGTGAGTTCTTGCCAGAACCAAGATCTGAAAATCACCTCATATCTAGTCATATCTCAAAACAAGCAAACAATGAAACAGCATTGCTGCTTGGTTTTGGAGTGAGTCTACCTCGCAAAAATAAAACCAGAGTGGGTGTATAGCCCAACATCAACAACCAAGAAGCGTTTGTTGATTCTGCAGCCTCCAAACACTCGCTGTAATTCTCAATGAGTTCCTGGCCGCGCCAATGGTAATCGGCCGGGATCGCGCATGGCTTTTTCTGGAGTCAGGGAGAAATATCTGTGCACCAGCCTGATGGAGTTTCTTCTCAGCCACCTTTTTGGCAGCTTGGTCTTTGACCTCATTTCAGGCTTTGACAGATGGGGAAAGGGACTGCTGATCTTGCATCATCCAAGGTTAGAAGTTTGGTTGTAAAGAATTTGAGCCATACTCAAGCGAAATTTGATCCTATCAATTGGAAGTGGGGTTTGATGAGGTTCTTCAGTTCTGTAGGTACTTTTTATAGAGTGATGTTGATCGAAATCATAGCCAAGCTGGAAGAACTATCCATTCCCAGACCCAACGTCTGGACAAATCCTGGATGCCATATTGCTCAGCTGGAACCGGATGTGAACACCACAATGGAGAACAAGGCCATGAATAGGTGTGTCTGAATTTTTGGATGCCCCAATTCCACTGATTCTTTCCTTATTCAAATGCCATTTGGGGATTTATAGCCCATTTTGAGACACACCCAAATGTCTTGGGTCCCTGCAAACTCCAGCGACAAGTCATGCAAACGGACCCGGCGATGGTCAACATCTGCGCTCGGCTGTGTTTGTCTTGTCTAAGTCCAATGGAATGGAGGAAGTTTCCCTCTCCCGTAGCCTCCACCACCACTGAGACACTCCATACCTGAGTGAAGTCGGGTCATATCCTCATGAGACATGAATCATGAGACCTGCAAGTGAGTTGATGCAATTGCCAATGGGCTGAATCGGTGATATTGATGGTATTAGATAGGACATGATAGGACCATAGTCCATGGTCTTTCTGGACTGTGACTACGCACTTGATTGTTAAGGGATGACAACTCCCCCTTCACTATCTGAAACAGAGAGGAGATCTGAGGAACCTATACTGGGAGGAGATTTAAGACCGTTGTTGTTTTGCAATGTGGCGAGGGAAATCTCGAAGGGATTCTGCTTCTTAGCAACTTCAGTTTCCTTATAAGCAGCAGAAGCAGTAGCTGCATTCTTTCAATGACGTTGAGAAGAAAAGAAATGGTATCTAGATCATGCTTTTAACTATGGCTACACATCATGGTCTGTAAATCAAACTGAACTGATGCTAGAGTACTACATTTCAACTCCCTCCATGTGTGCATGCCATTTGCCAAAGATGCCAAAGATGCGGCAACGGCTTTCATTTGAATTGGCTAGAAATTGTGATCCACTCGGCCAAAACTCGCTAGTACTACTATCAAAGTGAGGGGACCAAAAAAAGGTATCAAGAGGATTAAAGAGGTAAGAATTGAAACCTTAGCCCTCCAAAGATTCCAATGTGTTATGATATGACTCAACGTTTCATAACTTCCTCGGCCAGTCACGGATGAGGTGGAGTTCTTCCAAGCGAGTCAAGGCCCCCAGATCCTTGCTGGGGAAGATCACACCTAAGTCCAGAGAAAGTCCGATGATGTTTTGATACCAAGGTCTTTGAAGGGTGCTTGGATGTGCTTGGTGGCTTGGTGCTGTCACATCTATAGTTCTATATATGGTTCTATATATGGTTCTTAAGAAAATCTCCCATGTGTGGACGGCCAGTCCTATAAAAAAGTGGTTTCAATCCGATTCCTCCATCAGCTTCAATCCCAGGTCAGTGGTTGCATTGGGCGCCGGACGCAAAGCGGCCACAGGTAACAGGACGTCGTCTGGAAACACGGCCATCCCCAAGTAGAGCTCTCGCTCCTCAAAGGGCTGCAAGGGATAGGCTAGCTACCAAGAGCTGCGGGTGGGGGCGTCCCCGGGGAATTTTTTTAGATTTCCCGGGGAATTTTTTTCAGGATACGGGGTCTATATAGCAAAACACATAAGGCCAGAAGCAGCAACCATGCGGAAAGGGTTCGCGCCCCTACCTTTTTATTTATTTTGTTTTTTTTCTGCGTTTTGGGATTTTTTTTTGATTCTGTTGCGGGGCGTGTTGTTTGCTTGTTCCATGGCGCCAACCGGTGTATTCCTTGGCTTCCATTCATTTTCCAGAGTTTTAAACGTTTTTTGGGTGTTTAGTTTGCTTTTCACCGGTTTTTTTTGGTTTTGAACGATTTTGTTTTGTTCTTGCCGTTTTTGGGCGTGTTTCCCGCGACTTGCATACGTCTGATCACTAGTGGCATGGACGGTTCTGTGTTGTTTGCCGTTGTATTCATCGTGCATCCACTGTGTTAAACCAACAGACATGATAGATTGATTGATTTATTCATAGATAGATAGATGGTTAGATAGATAGATAGATAGATAGATAGATAGATAGATAGATAGATAGATAGATTAGATTAGATAGATAGATAGCTAGATAGTTAGATAGATAGGTAGATAGATAGGTAGATAGAATAGATAGATAGATAGATAGATAGATAGATAGATAGATAGATAGATAGATAGATAGATAGATAGATAGATAGATAGATAGATAGATAGATAGATAGATAGATAGATAGATAGATAGATAGAGATAGATAGATAGATAGATAGATAGCTAGAAAGATAGAGATAGATAGATAGATAGGTAGATAGATTAGATAGATAGATAGATAGATAGATAGATAGATCGATAGATCGATAGATCGATAGATCGATAGATCGAGATAGATAGATAGATAAGGATATAAGATAAGATAGATAAGATAGATAGATAAGATAAGATTAGATTAGATAGATAGATAGTTAGATGGATAGATAGATAGATAGATAGATTTTTGACGACAAGTTTGATCACACACGCTTGAAACAGAAGGTGGGCCGTATCATACACTTGCATTTTGTCACAAGCCGCGGGGGGTGGCTCTAAAATAAAAAGGCGGGGAGGGGGGCGCGGGGGGAGGGCGCAGCGCCTCCGCCCGCAAAGCGTCACATAGTCATGATACATTAATTCGCAATGTAGGTGGGCCTTATCATCCACCTTTGTGGTGTTGTCACAGCATACAGCGGTAGCGTAATACTAGACGTAGCAGTTGGTGGGCCATATCATCCACCTTTGTGGTTTTGTCACAGCATGGCAGCAAAGCACGCACTTGAATTTTGACGACAAGTTTGATCACACACGCTTGAAACAGAAGGTGGGCCGTATCATACACTTGCATTTTGTCACAAGCCGCGGGGGGTGGCTCTAAAATAAAAAGGCGGGGAGGGGGGCGCGGGGGGAGGGCGCAGCGCCTCCGCCCGCAAAGCGTCACATAGTCATGATACATTAATTCGCAATGTAGGTGGGCCTTATCATCCACCTTTCTGGCGTTGTCACAAGCCGCGGGGGGGGGCTTTCCTGGAAATGCAGTTTTGCATGGTATTTACAATGTCTTTTGCTTATGCACATGGATACGGGGGGTATTGCAATCGCGCGCCATACCTTATACAATGCTTGATTGGATACCTTCCTTGCTTGCCTGCCTGGCTGGCTGTCTTGCTGGCTCCCTGCATGGCTTGCTCACCTTCTCGCTTCGCTGACTGCCGTGCTTCCTCCCTTGCTCGCTCGCATCGCTCGCTCGCTTGCTGCTGCTTGCTGCTGCTTGCTTGCTGCTTGCTGGCTTGCTGCTGCTTGCTGCTGCTTGCTGCTGCTTGCTTGCTGCTTGCTGCTTGCTTGCTTGCTTGCTTGCTTGCTTGCTTGCTTGCTTGCGCTTGCTTGCTTGCTGCTTGCTTGCTTGCTTGCTTGCTTGCTTGCTTGCTTGCTTGCTTGCTTGCTTGATTGCTTGCTTGCTTGCTTGCTTGCTTGCTTGCTTGCTTGTTGCTTGCTTGCTTGCTTGCTTGCTTGCTTGCTTGCTTGCTTGCTTGCTTGCTTGCTTGCTTGCTTGCTTGCTTGCTTGCTTGCTTGCTTGCTTGCTTGCTTGCTTGCTTGCTTGCCTTGCTTGCTTTGCTTGCTTGCTTGCTTGCTTGCTTGCTTGCTTGCTTGCTTGCTTGCTTGCTTGCTTGCTTGCTTGCTTGCTTGCTTGCTTGCTTGCTGCCTTGCTTGCTTGCTTGCTTGCTTGCTGGCTGGCTGGCTTGCTTGCTTGCTTGCTTGCTTGGCTTGCTTGTTTGCTTGCTTGCTGGCTGGCTTGCTTGCTTGCTTGCTTGCTTGCCTGTTCCCTGCGTGGCCTGCGAATAGATTTCTGAAAAAAAATCCCCGGGAAATCTGAAAAAAATTCCCCGGAAAAATACGTACCCAAGAGCTGCCGCCTCTTGACCCAAGAAATGGGTTGAAAGCAAAGCCCAGTAGCCCAGCACACAAAGCTGTGGGATGGTGGCTCGGGGAGTTTCAATTGAGCGGTGGCGAAACCCCTATATATACGTGTGTGTGTGTATATATATATATATTAATATATATGCAATTCTCTTCTAAAAAAAAAAAATATATATATATATATATGCAATTCTCTTCTAAAAAATATATATATATATATGTAATTCTCTTCTAATCCTACTTGTCTTCCGCGCGGTCTTCCGCGCTGCTTCCGCGACCACAGTTTCAGCTTCCGCGGATGATTGGTAAGTTGATTCTGCTTCCGCGGAGCTTCCGCGAAAACAAGCTCCTCATGAAGATTATAAGTTGAAATCGTCTTCCGCGACCCTTCCGCGATCGGACGATCAGCGTCTGCTTCCGCAAGCGCTTCCGCACGCTTCCGCGGACGTGGGTTTCACTTCCAAGGGACTAACTTAGTTAAGTTTCTTACTTGGAGGTTTTTGACGCTGCTCAATTGGAGATCAAACAAGAAACACTTTGAAACCACCAGCCAGCCAAGCAAGCAAGCCACATCAAGCCACCCACCCGCACCGAACAACCAACCAATCCAGCAATGGTCTTGCCCAACTCACGCGACTCGTCAGGTGCCTCTTGACTCAGCCGCTTCGCCGCCAAGGCTATGCAACGTTTGATGGCGTTTGGCTCCTGGATATGGCTTTCAACCTGGTGAAAACCAACGAGATTCTGTTGCAGCCTCTGAAAGGCAAACATGCCTTCCCCAGATCCAACACACCACCTTTGTCCAAAGAACGAAGAGAAGTCGGTCCCAGTAGATCTTTGATGATCTTTGAAATCAACAGGAATCCCATTGTCTCAAAAACTGGGACTTTACATCTTTGGTTGCCAGCCCCCGAAATCTTCCCACGATTGCCTCCTTTTCCTGCGCTGCAAGCTCAGTGCAAAAGGAGGTGAAGATCGACCTCTGGGCTGACGTGGTTGCTCCACTGGATGATACCAGATTCAAACACATCGCCATGTTCTCCAAGCACAATTACCCCGGGATAAGCAATGCGAGTAACAGAAATGATCCAAAGGCTATCAATGGCTATCACAAAGGCTTGGAAGATCACCTGCAGGTCAAAATGATCAGCCAACCCCGTCAAAATCGTCGATTCTTTTAGTGCTACGAGTAAACAAAATGACCAGATCTGTGGGTTCAAACATGTTCAAACGGGTACGGCACCCCAATTTAGACCCATACTCCCCCATTGTCATTATCATCATATATCATCATTACACATGTTCATTCTTTTGATTCATGGTGAAACATGTTCCCATTCAATGACATGTTTAACAGATTTTAACAGTTGCAATTCTCACATCGCATCACCACCGAGATCTCCCCTGGCCTCTGATCTCCGTGAGATCGCTTCTCCATGCGCCCTGTGGCGCCCAGGATGGAGAGCGCCAAGGGTGATCGGGCGCAAAGCTTCGCGAGTTTGGACAACGACGCGTCTCCTGTGGGGAAAAAATCGAATCTCAAGTTGGGGATGGATGCTGTCCTGGCTTGGAATCTCTTAGACTATCTCGAAAAAAAACTTTACAAAAACTTTACAAAAATTCATGGCGGAAATGAGAAAAATGAACTATTCCGGGTTCTCGGACTTAGTCACGGATGAGCATTGGGTACCAAATCACTCGAACGTGCAGGTTGAAAATACTGGTCTCCGGTCTCCAAATCATTGAATCAAAAGATATCAAGAGTTGGGTTGTCGATCAAAGGGTATAGAACGACCACTAGGAGATGTACAGTATATACCAAATGTGGCTAAAGATATTTGATGATTTTGATATATGTTGATTATATTTGATGATATCTGTGGGATATTTCTGGGATGCTGTCGAAATCCTTCAAGGCCCAAGAGTTGCTTGGCTTCGGCATCAGTGATTTCACCCAGGCGAAGCACTTCGGCTGCCAAGAGATCTGCTTTCCGTGTCGTGATGAGTACCTCACTTTGGTCCCTGGCTCCCGAGATCTCCCGAGGCTTCAGCCATAAAAAAAGCCCCGTTCAGCTCAAAGGATCCACAAAGAAAAAGCAAAGTCTTCTGAAGCAAAGTTTGGAAGACGGCATTGCCTTGCCATGACTTTGGGCGACCTGTTGCAGTCGCCACAAAAACATGGCGGAGGCAGTGGATTGCTTCAATGCACTGGTCTTGAAAGTCCAGATCTCTGGACTGCAAAGATTGAAAAGAAGATCCCATCGTCATAGACACCCCGTAGACACACCGTAGAGTCGTAGAGATCCGTGGATCCGTGGAGTAGAAAGATGGAATGTGTTTGCATCATTTTGCATCTTTAAAAACAAACAAACTGGGAAAATATGATAGCTATGAGTTTTTCATAGTTTTCCCCGGTGACTCCGTACTTCCCGCCTCTCAGGGGAGCAAACGGCTCGAGGTGTTGGGCAATCCATACATCATCCAAAACAATCAGGGCTCTCAAACCTCGGCTGCAGCTACACCAGTGGCGTGAAAAATTGAGGGACCTTTGACACATTTCCAAACCACCAATCAGTCAACAACAGATGGAGTTCTTTAAAATCTTTAAAATTTAGTCCAACCATGCTCCAGCCAAAACAGATCGGACTGTTGAAGCGTCAACATCTTGTAGAAATGTAATTATGGAAGTTCTATCTTGTTTCATGTGCTGTCATCTTCTACCTTGTTTCATCTTGTTGCATTGGTCAAATGGAACTTGCCAGCAGCCCCGTCCGTGCGGCAAAGAGACCCGACAGGGCACCAAACAGCTTGCCATAGCCATCCGATAGATCGCTGGGCGGCTCATGAACACCAAAGGCCCGCAACAGCTGTGCTTGCAGATTCACCTGGGGATACTGTCGAGGAACAGGGTAGATCAATGGATACTGCGACAGATACCAATAGGCTAGCACTAAGCGTAGCACTAAACCTGGAGAAACTCATTGCACTATATTGCACTCTCGCTCACCCGTTGAAAAGCACTTGAAAATCTTGAAAAATGCTCGATGCGAGAAAATATTGGCCGCAGACTTGGCACCAAGGCATCATGGTCACGTTGGGGTCCCATGCAGAGTATGTTAATCACTGCATTGAACTGCACCTAGTTCCACTTTTGCGTAAGGTGCCTACATGTGTGGATCGTGATCGTGCGTCATATCATCATATCACGTATCTAGAAATGATATCAAATGATATCAAACGAAAGCTCTATATATATAGTAATATATAATAATATATATATATAATATACAGAGAGAGAGAGAGGGAGAGAATGCCAGAGTATGCCAACCGATCAAGGACATGTTCTTCTTAGCGATCCTCGTGGAATGTATCCCGTTCCAAGTCGCAAGATCTGGTGCTTGGCCCACGGTGACGTATGCCACTCCGTCAGGAAACATCTCTGACCTTGTGGTCAAGGTACAACGAGGCAACATGGGATACCATGGGACCAACACATATATAAATTATATATTATTGCATACCATTATTGCTAATTATTACTACCAGTAATTCGAGGTTTCCTAAAATGGGTGTACCCCTAAATCATCTATTTTAATAGGAGTTGCCATTAGAAACCATCCAGTTTGCGGTATCTTCATTTATGGAAACCATCCAAGTGATGGGAGTGATCATGGCCATGGTTGCCGGGATCTCTAGGAACAAATCACAAGTTGGCCACTCAAAGGTAAGCCTGCGTGAACCGATCATGTGTTTAAAATTTTAAATATCATCTTCAACATGCCATTGATCTGCAGGTTATGGGTCTGCCAGGTGACAAGGATTCTTCGTGATGGATAGTGGCACAAGTGGCCACAGTTTTGCCCATGCCACCCGCTCCATGAACCACGCAAAGGCCAGAGGCCTTGCAGTGGGCGATGGATGGCCCGTTGAAAACCACCTTTCACGGATTTCGGTCCTAACTATCCAAGTTTGTGTATCCCATCCGATAAAACTCCCACATTTGGATTCGTCCAATAATAGAATACCCCCCAAAATCCCATTGTTTATGAATTGAAGGAAACGCGCCCATTTATATCATTTACTGTATCACCCCCCACCGCGGCTTCTCAGCTTGTGGCATTTCGGGTTCAATTCCCCATGTTCAGAGCCCATTTATCACACACCAGCCACACTTCTCAGCCGAACAAAGGGGACAGTTGCCCCAATCCAACTCCCATCAAGCGTGGAAATCTTATGATGTTCTATCATCCCCTTCAACTATCCCCATGGCATCCCAATAAAGAGACTGACTTTTCCCATAAAACATGGGGACTTTGACCATGTTCGCCCATATCGCCATAAAATCCATGGGATCCATGGGTGGTGGTACGAGTAGCACCTTGAGGCATTTCTGCAGACTCTTGGCGACCGATTCCGTGAGCCCCGCGCGCCAGGCATAGTTCACCGGCAGCGGGGGCACTTCGCAACGCTGCTGGATGGGCATGGCATGGCGACCCTGGGGTCGACCGGGAAATCAAGGAACAAAACCATGGCCGGTCCATGGAAGATTTATGGAAAATCATCCAGAAATCGCAAAAAATGAAGGTTTTGAATGGGAAAATCCTTGAACTAAATGGAGGTGTTTAATGGGAAAATCATCTGCTAATGAAGGTTTTTGCTGGAAAATCATCGAACTAAATGCTGGAATTGTCATTGCTATGTTTGATTGCGAGAGCGTAAGTAGAGTTGATATTAGGTATTGTCAGGTGCTGATGTTCAGTGGTTTTTAGTGTTGTTGGGCTAGTTAGGTGATGATGTTTCAATGGATTGTTTCGAGTGGCAGTTGGGTGCACTGCTGAATTAAAGTCGCATTGAAGTTGACTCGGTGCAAACGGCTCAAGTTTTTGACTCCCGATGTCGGCATGTGGTTGCTATGGTCTCTGTCTCAACATGCCCCAGCCATGTGGGACATCATGTGGGTGGTCAAAATTGGGTACCCCAATCATCCCCAATCATTGGATGGTTGTAATCTCATATGGATGGTTAATATCCCAATCATTGGCTGGTTATGGATGGTTAATACTAAAAATACCCCATGATTAACAGATAACCATGGATAACCATCATTATTGCACCATTCTGGATGGTTAAAATATGTTAAAATCGGTCCGAGTTTTGGAGCGGCAGCGATTTTTTTCGATGCTTCGCTTGATGCTTCGAACCCTGCATCCACACATCTCCTCAGCGATGAAAAAAGGTGACACCTGCGATCTCAGAAGCTTCCAACCTTTAGAGAGACATGGAACCATTAGTCTAGATCTAGACATGGGTAGACACATCATGGATATGGCCATTTTGATAGGGAAAATGATGAAAATGAGGCTCCGAACCAGTGGATCTAAGGTTTTTGATGTTTTTTTGTTTTTTTTCGGGCGTTCCCAACATGTTCATCATTTTTCAGAACCCAGTCTCTGTCGCCTGAGCCGCCAACTCGTAGAAAAAAATGTATGCCGCAGGGAGGTTCAATGCCTGTTACATAGCGATCGAAGGGATCCAGCTTCAAAAGGCGTCTGCAAAGGATACCCAGAATGATGAAAAATGATGAGAAACATGCGTTAAATATATATTGGTGCACTTGTTATCACTTGTTCATAATATAGGGATGATGATAAACCAATATAAAATATTATATAGATATATGTTTATGTTTGTCGCAGTGTGGTCTGCTCCCCTTTTCTCTGTCCCAGGCAACGGTAGGCGTCTGTGGCGCGCCATCTGCAGGCACTGCAAAATTGGAAAATGGGTCCTTAAGCAGCTGAAAAACTAAAAGTAAACCAGATGCGTCCATCCTCCTCCAAGTTGCAGTGCACTCCACCAGGGCGGCATGTGGGCGGGTGCCCAAAACACTGACACCCAGCGAAAAACATTCAAGGCATGTTTGTCGCAGTGTGGTCTGCTCCCCTTTTCTCTGTCCCAGGCAACGGTAGGCGTCTGTGGCGCGCCATCTGCAGGCACTGCAAAATTGGAAAATGGGTCCTTAAGCAGCTGAAAAACTAAAAGTAAACCAGATGCGTCCATCCTCCTCCAAGTTGCAGTGCACTCCAGTCCCACAACTACCGGCGCCCTCAGCAGCGAGTTGATAGCTGCTAGCGCAGCCATTCGTGCCACTTCAGGAATCTGGGGGGCGCTTGTCCAAGGCATCTAAAAGAAAAGGCAGAAAGGAAGAAGCTGATTTCACTTTCTCACGGCATTCAGCAGGGAGAGAGGCTAACACTCCACTGGCAGCTGTTTCTTGCAGGTAGCTCTCTAAAGTACTTAGTTGTTTTAAGCGAAGCCGCCAAAGTATATCCCAAATGGGAGTTCCAGTGTGATACAAATGAACAGCTCCGCCGCCTCTAAGACCACCTGGGGTGATCTGGCTACTATGTGGTACTTGTAAAGCTTCTGCTATTTTGTCCCATCTCCGCCGGTATGCAGCTGGTGAGGCAGAGAAAAGAAAAGCCTCCGGCTCTAAGTTCCCAAAAACGGAAACCAGCAGCCTCACCGTGGAAGCATGGGAAACGCGGGCATGTTGAACTCGGCCGCGACCCCTACGTCCCGGCTTTGGAGCTCCCACTCGCAGAAAACAAACATCGTCATCCACGCATAGGTCGGCCGGTAAAAGCAGATCAGCTCTTCGTGCTTTAATAGGCTCTCCAATCCTTGTGGCACCATGAAAAGCCAAAGCAGTCACGCCGACCCACCGGTGCCATCCCCAAAGTAATCCCAGACTCAAAAAGGCATCTAGTAACTGCCGAGGCATGGGCGGTCTGTGCTGCACAGGTTGTACTATTTCCCAGCGTTGAAGCAAATCCCAAGCTGGTGCCAGTTGCGCTCGCACTGCAGGCGATGACTTCTGGTAGTGCACCACCAGGTGGCGAAATAAGTACATGGGCTCTCCGCGCTGAAAACTCCAGTGGCCAAAACTTTGCAAAAAAGAAACCTGAAACAAAGGGCTATCCCAAAGGTGTTGGAGTACATCTGCAGGCAAATTCTCTGACAGCCATCTCGCATAGCGTTCTAAGGCTCGGGCTTGCAGCAGTCGTGTAGCAGGCGTCACTGTGTCCACCTCATCTAGCTCAACTGCTGGTAGCACTCTTCGGACTCGCGGCCCTGGGTGCAAGCCTCGCCTATTCGGCGGCCACAACACTTTGCACAGCTAGCTACGTCGAACTTCTGTCTACGGTCAGTTGGCTTCAGCTCTTCAGCCACAACTTTGGCTAAAAACCGACATAAACCAGTGGGGTAAGCTTCTGCTGCTTTCGTCAAACAGCAGCCCCGACTCTTGCTGTATCCAACAAGCTGAATGTGCGGCCTTTCACATTGGCACAGTAGGGTCTCCCCAGCTACGCTGGTATTCGTCAAAAACCTCGTTCTCTTCCGCCAAGGAGTGCCCCATCTGCAGTAGTCAGTTGTAAAAAACCGTAACCCAAGTGTGGTGATAAGCCTAACCCATTCAGGCTGCCACCAGAGATAGCTTCCCGCAGGATTCTCTACCCACCAGCAGATCCCGTGCGCATGCACGAGGGCGATGAAAGCAGCCAACCATTGCGACATAGCATTGCCGACTTGGACTTTCTCGCGCATGTTGTCTGTCAGGTCAGCAAGGCCTGTCGGGCATTCTTTCGTTCGCACTGGTGGTCGGACTGCTCGTGAAAAAGACGCACAAACCGGTCCGGCGCCCACCGACAAAAAGGCTGCTGCCTCAACAAGGCTGGCCAGAAAGTCCTGCACACTCGGGTCCAACAAATTTTCACTAGCATGGTGTGCCACATCGAAGGTCAGAACCCAATGGCCTGTTGTTTCTGCTAAAGCCTTTGCCGCACCACGTTGGCCAGAAAAGAGGTCTAAGTGCCCTTGCCGCAACACGAGCTCTTCCAGTTTTTGGCCTGGTGGAAGCACAAACTGCGACGCCGGCAACTTCCGCAGCAATGCAACGCAATCGGCGCTCAAAGGTGCGGCTTGCAACCATGGCTCTACGCGTCCGGTGACAGGAGTGGTGTCTGCCTTATCCCCCCCCCCCGTCCTAGCAGTCCTCCTTTTTGCATAGTCTCGCCGAAGTGCTGCACGTCGAGAAAGAGGATCCAAGGGGCTAACATTCAGCTCACGCTCGGCAGGCAGCCTAGCAATCACCTTGTCATCGACTTGCGCCTCAGCCAAAACTTTGTCCAGCTCCTCAAAATCGCCAGCTTCAGCGGCGGTGAACCACCTCTGCGCGGGCTGAGGATCTCGACATGTCCGGTCCCTCGTAGGGTCATCTGCTACATTGTCAGCAGTGTTCACATAGTTTACTGCAGGGTAGGTGTTATACGCTAGCAACCATGGCAAGTGACGCCTCAGCTTTTGATTCAAGCTTGCCGAAGAAGCTCTTCCCCGCACCAACGCTCCCAAAACCACTTGACTGTCAGAGCCCAGAAGCAATCTGGAGTTTGGATGCTTCCTGGACCGACGAGCTTCAGAAGCCAGCGCTGCTGACAACTCACTAAGGTTGATGTGAGTTCGCCGTTTGATCTTCCTTCTGCCAATCAAAGCAAAACGTTTCGACTTAGCTGCTGCTCTCCACAAGGGGTGCGACCGAGCTGGAAGCTCGCCCGCAGGTACTTCAGCTTCTGGCTGTAGTATCCCATGCACCTTCTGCAACGCTTTCAAAGGGCTCAGGAGGCGCGACCAGGAGGCTTTTGTCAGCCGCTGCCTCGCGAGTTCCCCCGCCAGGCTGTGGGTCACAGGAGAGGCGACCTCAGCCTCCCACTTGTCTGAAGCATCCACTAAAGCAAGCTCCGGCAGTACTTCTGCCCTCAAATCGCTGCAGAACAAAGGTGCAAAAACGACCATGGTCCAAAGTTCATCTACGGCCTTTGCCGACAGCTGAAAAACTACTCCATAGTCAAAACGCTGGATTTCCGAAAAAACTTCTTCCAGCAAACACATGCACCTCCGTCTCATCTGCAGGATCGACACCCAAGCACCAGTGAGCACCTCAAGCAACTTTCTGTCAGCATAACCACACCGTGCCAGTTGGGCAGTAAGCACCGCTACTGGTACCGCTCGTTCCAGCTGCGCCCTAATGATGCCAGTGTCTCCATCCAAACTGATGCCCCAAAACTTGGCATGGACTTGCCCTCGGAAACGTTTGCCATCGTGAGGTTTTAGCCCCACTTGCTTGTACAACTGGACCATGCGATCAGCCAGTGGAGAGGAAACAGTAGAAGCAGGCTTCGCTCGAGGCACTTGTTCCAAGATGATGAAATCATCTATCACGATGCCTACCACCCAGTTCTGGCGGGGCATGCGCCCGCGCAAGGTGATGCAGTCCCCCAGTTTGATGCCGCTCTGCAACGCCAACTTCATATGTGCTTGCTGCCCGAACTCCACACTATTGAGGTCCCCCATCGCCATCGTGTTGAGGGCGGGGATGTAGTGAGTTGCCTCCCCTTCCACATATCTGAAACTCTTGAAGCGCTGCGCTTCAGCTGCAGTGAGGGAGAAGGCTAAAGCATTGCGAGCAGCACGGTTTCTGCTAACCTTGTAGAAATAGTAGTAGTCTTGCAGATCCTCACCTGCCGCAAGCAGAACCCGGTCAGGGGGAAGCACCATATCCAAAAGAGGCGTTGCACAACCCATGCTCTGAGTCCATGCATTCAGTGGTTCTTCGGCCAGATTCGCTGGCCTGGCATCCATGATAAGGCGGTCCTTTTCCAAATTCTTCATCAGGCAAAACAGTCCAGCCCTCAAGGGCATGCGCACTTGTGCAGGAGTAAAAAGGGCTAGTCTGCCAGTTTCATCCAGGGAGTGCAGCAGCTTGAGTACCTCAGCATGTTGGCCTCGCACTTGCACACGGGGAACTGGTTCCAGAATCTCCTCAGGGGCGAGGGCATAGTCTAAGGGCTCTGCATACCATGCCGCTGCATCAGCATCCAGCAAAGGCACTGGATCAAACGCTGGGCATCCGCTAAACTGCAAACGGTGAGCTTCTATGTCTTTAGCAGTTTGGACCTCGCTCACTAAGGAGCTCGCTTTGCCGGCAGGACCGGCACGATGTCTTGGCACAGAACTGGAAAAAACACTGGACCCTTGTTGGGCGATCAGCTGGAGAGCAACGGTGGTCAGCAAAGCTACATTGTGCTCCAGGCTCTCCACTTTCCCGGCTGTTCTACCCATAGCAGCGGCAGCGATGGGCCCCGAAGCGGCCCACTCAGTGCATAGGCGCACCAACCGAGAGACAATGCCCTGCTGCTCTTCGGTCAGAGGGGCATTAGCCCTGAAGTCCTGGGGGCAGCGCGCAGGCGATCCCAGCTGCAGCCAATTCATTGTCAAAACCATGACATTCAGCGCCCGTCGCAGAGCATTGGTGGCCTTGTCACCGCTCCGCAATTGCCCTTTGTGGAAAGGCATAGGCATAGGCCACACTGGCCTAGAGGTACAGGGTTCATGTTCTTCCCTGTCAGCCTGGGTTTTCAGAGAAGCATGCAAAAAAGCTCGCAGGCGGCTGGAAGGTCCTCCAAGCATCCACCTGAGTAATGAATTCCAAAAAGAGGTGACCTCGACAGTGCTAGCTTCGGCACCAGGCACCTTTCGTGCATTGGCGGAATCAGCGGCACCGACAACGGCAGGAAAGCTTTGTTTCAACGCAGCAGGCAATTCATTATGCAGCTTTTTGAGTTCATCAGCCCTTCCCCTTGCAACTGGTCCCCGACCGTTGTTCGCGGTACCACTTAAGGTCCGCGCTGGTGAAGAAGAACTCGGCAAAGGACCAGTGCAAGGCTCGGGGCCTACATGTTGAGCTGCAGTACTCATTTGTGGTCGGCGGTTGCAGCTCCGTCCATTTCGGCTGCACCACCATCGCCGCTGCTTTGTTGCTTTCCCTTGCCCTTGCCTTTCTTCTTTGGTTCGGCCTTGGCAGTCGGCTTTTGCTCGACCGGCGGGTTGCCAGGCGGAGTTCGCCTTGATGTCAACTTCCGCTTCTTCTCCGCCAGGCTGTCGTAATCGTTGAGCTTCTGGAGGAACAGATCGACCCACCTTCCATCCACCAAGCGCGTGTAAGGGGCTTCGTTCTCCTGCGGCAGGGAATGGGCCGCAAATTGCGCCAGCGGCGGCGGCTCCTCTAGGGCCATCTCGCCCGCTAAAATCCAGTTGCCACGATCTATGCTGAGTTGATCCCCTTGGCAAAGCAACAGGGCCAATCGAGCCTGGGCTTCGGCAGGCTTTTCGGCCCGCAGGCAGTCCAAGGCACCCGCAATTCCCCACAACAGCCGCACTGGAGTCTGAAAGTTTTGCACGCGCGACCTCATCTCTAGCCAAGCGCGTGCTGTCACTTGCACTCCCGCGCTTCCAGGCACCTGCGCCTGCAGATTGAAGTCCTGCTCCATGTTCCCCTCGATGATCTTGTAGATCTCTTGAGGCTGTGCAAGTAGGGCTCGCCGCAAAGCTCGCAGTGCTGCTGCATAGCGGCGGGAACCCGCCACCGCTGATGTCTCGCTGCTTCCCGACCCAACACCGTCTAGCACGGCATCCAAACTTTTGTCTGCTTTCTTTTGCTGCGCCAAATGCCCGGCTATCTGAGTGAGCTTGGTAACTGCTGAAGTCAGAACTGCATTGGCCACAGCTTGAGGTCCTTCGGCGTCGAGCTCGGGCATCTCGGGCTCGTCTGCCTCGCTTTCGGACAAGGGGTCGCGAGACTGCACAGGAGCTGCTTTTCGCGGCAGCGGAAGATCTTGCAACTTGGGCTTTCCTTTCTGCGCTAAACTGATCATCTGCTCGATGTGGGCTTGGGGAATGCCTGCTTCTCTGGCAGCTTGAACCATTTCTGCATCGATGCTGCCTCGATGTGTTCCCAATCCAGGAGGGCATTGGAATGAGACGCGAGGTGCTGTCGCAGGGGGAGCAGCTGATGGCCCTGGCCCAGCTCGCAGCGCTGGTGGTCGCTGCTTCTCTGCAGCTAAATGCTTCAAACTTTCGGCAATCTGGCCGACACTCTTCTCCAAAACCGCCAACCGCTGGTCTATTGCACTGGGTGCTGCCTCTTCAGGCGGAGCACTAGGAGCTGTCCAAAAAGCAAAATGCTGTTCAGCTACCTCAATCAAAGTATCAGCGACTGGGACAACAAATGGTCCGGCAGGGTCAAATGGATAGTCAAAATCTGCAAACTCAGTCGTAGGATCAAAAACAAGATGAGCTTCACACTCGGCTGCAAGAATTCCCACCCAGAGCTTCGCTGAGTGAGCACCGCCAGCCGGGTCGGCTCGGTCCAAAAAAGGGGCCTCAAGAACAACTGGCTTTCCCAGGGCTCGTTGTGGCAAAACTCGTCTGCTGGATACTCGGTGCCAAACGGAAAACGGCACCGCAACTAGCAGTCTTCCCTCAACTTCAGAAATGGCGATGCAAGCTACCGTAGTAGGTTCACCCCCAGCTTCAGAAGGAACTTCAAAAACACCAACAGGATAGGCTGGATCTGGGGCCAATCCCGCCTCACCTTCAATGAGGACTGTGCACTGCCGCGCTGTCACAGGATTTGGAGGACGCAGCGCTTCGTCCCGCTCCTCGTCTTCAGGCAGATCCGAATGCATCAGGTGGTGGCCACTGCAAGCCAGCAGTGTTCACCGCCACACTAGCTTCTCAGTAAGTCGGGAACCCTGCAAAAACTGAATCTCCGCAATTGCCGCCCTGCTTAACCAGGGGCTTGATAGCAGAAAAAGAGCTGAATACACGGACAGGGTTGTAGCTCTGCCCTGAAATATCCCGACACAAAACGTAGCAACGAGACTGCAATCGAATGCGGTCCCTCCCACTCGTGCCTCGCTCTTCACCAGCCAAGCACCGGCGAAAAAATTTGCCAATCTCAATGGCCACCTCTCGCCTCTCCGCTTCAGTGTAATCCGCGGCCGTAGCTTTACCTGAGTAAGCAGGGCTGTTGGCAGATGACACAATTGAAGGAGCAGCAGCAGCTGAGTTACCAGAAGGGGCTGGGGAATAAACAGCTGGTCCCTGGGGGAAATTGCAAGTAACAGTGATAGGAGAGCCAGTTGCAGCTCTGCCGGGTCTCACCGGTGCTTGAGTCTCACCACCCTCTAGGTCAATCACCCGCAACGTGAGCTGCAGCACCTCCTCACGTAGAGCTCGCACTTCACGCACCAGCTCAGCAATACCCTCGCTCATGCGAGTCGGGACTTAACAGCCCAATAATTGTGCACAGCCCCAACACGGAGTTTCAACTGAATATTCAGATACTGCCTTAACAAAATAAGGTATTCCAGCACTTGACCAAGTACCAACCCCGAAAAAATGCCGAGACAAAGGCTGCCCCAATGGATGGATTCCACCTCAAGGTCCTGACAAATGACAGGGGGGTGGACTAGGGGTTCACGGAGGATAGCAGACACCAACGCCGCCGAAATTCCTCCTGTCACCGCGGAAGTTGGAAGGGCCCTGGGCATTAGCTAGCAGCTTGTGCCCAAAACGCTGACACCCAGCGAAAAACATTCAAGGCATATATATATATATATATTGTAAAAGGATGTAAAAGGATGTAAACTTCTGAAGTGTCAAATTTGGCGGCACCATGTGGCACCATCTCTTTAGACAAACCCCGGCATGGACCCAACAAAAGGCAAACCTTATCAACATTTGTTCTCCAGACCTAGACCCATTGGCACCTGCCACGGTTCGACCTCAGAAACTTCTTCATCATTGGCGCAAACCTCAGGTTTACCAATAAATCTGATGCATCAGGGAATCACAGAAGATGTCCTATGACGAAAATGTTCTTGAATTGTCCAGGGTCACCAGGTGAAATTCATGTCATCTCTCCAGATGTTTGGTTAAAATAGCCAATCATTGCAAAGTGCGATGGCAGGAAATATCGCCAGGACGGTTACGAGTCCAAAGTAATTCTGCCATGGGTTTGTTGCGCCAGCTTCACTGGTTACCTAACTACATCTCCATCGATGAAGGAATTCCAGCCGTCCCAGGTTCGAATTGATTGTATGATATTGTCTGTCTCCACTTGATGCAGTTTCTTCCATCAACATCATCGAATCATCAACTTTTCGAAACAAATGATGACGGATCGATCAGGTCCCGCGGTGACCACAACGTCTTAAGAGCCTTTTCCATTCGGCGATGTCGAGGCGTCGGGAACACACCAGTCACAGCTTCAGGGTTTACGCGCATAGTTCTTCGCCTCACCACGGTGATGGGATGCATTGGATGCATCGATAGTTGTGGGGTTTGGCTCACCACTACACAAAAACTCCACAGGAGTTCGATCTACCCTCTGGTAATTTAACATAGCTATTGAAAATGGCCATCTATAGTGGGTTTTCCCATTAAAGATAGTGATTTTCCATAGTTATGTTAGTTTACCAGAGGGTATTGTTTGGCAACCCCATGGATTTGAACTTTTTGAGTCTCAACATTTGAGAAGCCGCAACTATCCTCTCATTTAATTGAAGCCAAATTGTCTTTGATGGTGCCCAAGCACTTTCTTTGGATCTTACCTGGTCTTACCACTGCTTACCCAGTAGTCTCAACCCTTTCATCCCTCAACAGCGCCTGTTCGTACATCAAAGCCTCAGCCATGGGACTTTCATGGGCCAACGAACGGGCACAACAAACCAAGACTGACCAATAGTCACTCGTTTGACCTCCTCTCACTCATCAGTTCATATATACTACCACATTAATCTACATTAAATGTTATACCCCGATAAGTTCCTGTTTTTTGGACCCAACTTGGACCCAACTTGGACCTGACTTGGAATCGCTGAAATCCCCTGGAAGGTCTGCCAGACCGACGTTGGGAAAATGTTGGATCAAGTCGTCGAGGCACTGCTCCCGAGTCCTCGGGAAAATGTGCCAGATGCGTCTCCAGCGCATGGGAAGCCTCCTGATGCGGTTGGGAGTTGTAGCCCGGTGGCTAGCCCGGTGGCTAGCCCGGTGGCTAAACCATGTTGAACCATGTTGAACCCATGTTTTTATGGTGGAGGATCTTGCCATCAAATATCCCAGGAAGATGTTTGAGTCGATCTTTAAAAGCGAGTCAAGAACTTGGAGTTCAAGATTGGCATGTAATTTTTTGTAAGATCCGATATGTGGACAAAAAATCTGAAACTCTGGACTGCGACGAAACTCTCTGTCCTTCCAACGATATTGCTGCCCCAACAGCCGCGCGAGTGCCGCACCTTTAATGCATGGCATGGGGCAATGGCCCGCGATTGTCCCAGCAAATGGGAAATTATTTAAGTTACTGAATATTGATCATGTTTAATGGGGAAAGCAATGGGTTTGGGGCTTGATGCTACGCTCTTAACTTCTTCAAGTAACTTCCAACACGACTTGTGGAGCAAGATGGCAAAGGGTTTTGCAGACTGGAATAACAGAATTTGAATAGAGACGGGTTGATTTGTCTGAAGCTACTCGACCCACTGGAAACACCTTATGCAAGAAACGTCTTGAGTCATGCCACATCTTCTTGATGCCGATGTGCAAAAAAAACAGCGTAACTAATACGGACGCAACCTTGTCTATGATTCCAACTTAACCATGGTTCTAACACCCTAAATTGGGATATAATATAAGCCCTATGTGATTCTGGCCATATACCCACTTATATAAATCGAAACCGCACCCCAAATCCCAAAAGTATGCCAGCAGCATGTGTGATTTGGCATAGGAACACTGGTAAATTGTTTCCCCATCAAAATGGTTGTAAAATGATGTAAAATGTTGTAAATTGCAGACAAATCCTGTGAATGTTCAGACTTCAACCCAAGTATCACTTTGCTGGTCATATATCTCATGATATAAGTCATTCTCTTATATCCCCTATGATCTCCATCCCCAGCCGCCCGATCGCCATCTGCTCCCGCCTAAACCTGCCTCTGGTGCCTTTTTCTGCGCCGCAGCCAAGAGATCAGAGGCCCGCCTCGCCTGTTGCATTACCAACGATGGTTTGTTTGTACGACAACAGGTCACCACAATCCCAAGTGAAGGTTGATGGTTGTCTCCAGGTGGGTTGAACATGTTGAATTCCCAGTTCTATCTGTATCCCTTGGTCCTTATGAAATCCTTTGAACTAGTGTTTCATTCCCAGGTTTGGTACCCTATTGCAGCCATGAGGCATCCCCTCTCACCGTGAATAGCACGTCCGCCAAACGTTTCAGCAACGCCGCCGCCAGGATTGCCTCGTCGGAGTTCTCCTTTGCTCCCTGGAAGCAGAAGCCCAAGCAGGCCCATTTACTACTGATTCAATCTTATTCATACTTACTCACTTTGCTTATCCCTTGTTGTAAAGTAGAAGTGGTATGAAGTGGTAACATCAAATTGGCCGACACGTTCCCTCTGTCGATTGTTTGTCGTTCTTGCATATCGTTGTGATGATTTTGCTAGTTTGAGAGTTTCGGGAAACAAGGGTACGGAGGGGGACTATACTGCAGGGGTGCAACTGGCCGGGAGACCAGCAGCAAACAAAACAATTTGATCCAGAAAGCGTGTCAACGTTCCAGAATAAAAATAGGGGCCGTAAATGACCATAGAGCCACAAACATGATCGGATCGACCTTCAAACATGGCTAAAAAAAGTAAAGCATCTTTTAAGATCTTTTAATTAAGTCTGTGCATGTCTGTACTATGTCATTGTATACTTTAAGTGCAAACCATTTGTGAGACTAGTTCAAATTGCGACAATTAAATTTATTAAATAAAGAAAAATTGCAAATAGATTGCTCCAACTCCCCGAAACCAACGCCTTCAAAAACTTCAGGACCTTTGCCCGAAGGTTCTTGAAGGTGTCCTGTCAACACATGTCACATGGCATAAGAGGACTAGTGTCCTCAAATTAATTGAGATCTATTGAGGAACCATACCGTGGCGGCCATGGTCTTATTTTTTTAAGTCCAAAGGATCATTAAGATCCAGGTTTTGAGAGACACATCGTGGGAACATGCACCGAAAAACCCTAACACCTCGCTTGAGGACTTGACAACCACATCACACATCCTCTTCCATAGGTCTGGCCAAATGAGTTCTGTTTTGCAGCGTAAATTACAATGCATCCGAGTATATCCTTCGCATCAGAAGATGCTTTCCAATATGGCGTCAAGTGTCCTCAGAGCATCTCAAAGCATCTCTAAGCTGGAAAACTCCAGCAGAATCCAATCGACTCAGCAACCATACCAGCAGAACAAACATACCAAGCTTCTAAGGAAGCCCACAGGAAAACCATTGGTCAGTTGCTCCGCTTCTTGGAAGAGTTCCTAGCTGAGCAAGGCTTGGACCAGCAGAACTGGTTGGTGGTTGAGCCATTTGAGTCAGCCATCCAAAAAAGTATGAACAAGATTGAGTAAGATTAAGTAAATTATAGTCAGTCAAACATAGCAAAAGAAATGAAACCACCAACCCCCACCAGAGTGTCTGGAACAGCCCATTGCTACGCCGTGCTGGCGCCCCCAAAGCCTTGTAGCGCTCGCCTTGCTTCTTCAGGCTCAACCTTGGAAGTTGACCCAGTGGGTTGAAGGGAAAATCTAGATGAAACAATGGCATTTGACCATCCAAATTTGGGTGATTCATTGGATGGTCAAAAATTTGGATGGAATTGAAAATCTATAGTTGAAACAATGGAATTGAAATCTATAGTTGATTCATGTAAACATCTCTAAAATTCTCCTTGTCTGTTCTATGGTGCTTGGGAATGGGCGTTCCCCTTTCCCGCTTGAGGTCTTCATCCACATTGACCATGGCCCAAAAATGGGCCACCAATAGCGACAAACAGCTGGTCGTTTAGTACCCCTTCATTTTGGGGGTAAATCTAATAGTTGGTCAGTTGGGATCGACATGCCATGGGTACAGAAAATAGTGTGAAATGCATGTGTCTGCAAAAAAATAGGCAGACTTTGAGCCATATCCCAGATCTTTTCTCCGTATATGGGGTTGTCTCAAAATTGGGAATCCCAGAATTGCATGGTTGATCATCCTGTTCACCATGAAACTTGCATGTTTTTGGCATACCCCATCAATTTTCCTGAGACAAACCCAATTTGATAGATATTTGATAGATCATGATCAATCAACTCCGCATGTTCACAAACTAAGACCCTCATTTTTGGCTGCCATGGTGAAGTCCCTGGGCTTATCTGCTTCCCAGGCACTTCTCCGCGGTCGAAAAGGCCTGTGCCAGGCACCAATAATCCTGGCCCGAAGTGCAGCTGTTGATCTCGGACGTGGTGCGCTGCCAGGCCACCCCGAGGGTCCTGGAAGTGGCACATCGTGGCGTTGGGGTGGTAAGAAATGGCAAGTGGTGGGGTAAATCAGTGGACCCTCAACTTATAAAAGTTATGGATGGTTCAACTTATGGATGGTTGATGATGGTTGATGATGGTTGATGATGGTTGATGATGGTTGATGATGTTTGATGATGTTTGATGTTTTCTTACATTTGATTTTGGGCAGAAAGCTGCTAGTTTGCTGGGTGCATATACTCATTGAAACACTCATGCATGTCAAACGCTGTTGTGGGGCGCTGGGACCAACCTATATATCCTATCGTTCGCCTGAAGTCTGAAGTGAAACAGTGGCATTGCCAAGTTGGGCCAAGTTTCGCTTCCACATTGATGGTAGCATGCGACCAGCCATCCGGGACAAAAATGGCATCTCCCGCGCTCTGTACACATTGTAACGGGGGCGATTTCCTTGCAAGGAAGGCGTAGCACCAAGCAATGACATATCATGCTACCAGGCTGTATCTGATACTAGTTCGTGAAATGTGCATCCCGATAGGATTTCTGGATTGTCTGTTTGGACTATGAACATCAACTGTCGTGAAACCGTCCCAAATGCCATTAAGTCTCTGTAACATGGCAACCAATACACATATGTCACATATTAGATCATATTAGTGAAACTGAAACCTGTATCGGTATTGGAATCAGAAGTCTGAAAGAATCCGATGCCCAGTGTGATTATTGCAACGAACAAGCTTGACGAGCATCTTGCCTTGTTATCTATTGCTTGAACTGCAGCTGATCAAGCGTGCAAAAGCTTCTATTGGAGAACCCAGTTTGTTCCTTTTCAGAAGCTTCTTGCAAAATAGTCAATGGCCCATAAATAAATAACAAGAATCATCCCAGTCGCACACGTTGGTGAAACCAAGGCTCATGTTGGGCAGGACCTTTGACTCAAAGACAGTCATCGCACGATGCAAAGCAGCCACCGAGGCATTTGGAAAATGGCCGGGTCTGTGCAGGTACCAACCTGAGATTTGGAGGCAAAATCACAAATCATTGGTGTCAAATGTAGAGCTTTCCACCGAGCAAATTGGTTGAATTTCCAAGTCTCATCTACTGACAGGGGTCAAATTTCTTGACAAAAAGTCACCTCACACACAGTTGGTTGATTTCTTTGGTAGTCTCAACCCAAAGCCACGAGATTGGGATCATCCATCCGCAATTTGAAACCTAGCTGCGTTTCTTCCCTGCGGCCAAGAGTAGAAAGGCCGGACCATGGGCATGAAATTGCGTTCCAGACCGTGGACCTCCCAGCGTCAGAAACGCCTCAGCTGTGCAGCTGTCCCGTGGCCACAAAACGCCACAAAAAATCAGTGATTTTGGCATCCTGAGTGCTGAGGGGTGCATCATATCCTCCACAATAAGATCAAACCTGCATTTTCTGCCAAATGGAGATGACCTGTTTGAGTGGATCATAACGAACCCAGCCACCCCAATCAGGGAGTATCCATGCCCCCGTTTGGTTCCCTTCGGCACCTTGGCATTGGACATCCGAAGCCAGTCCTTGGGGTAGAACTACAAAGTCCAGTTCACTCATTTTTTGTCGGCTGCAGTAGATTTGGATTGTTGAAGAGGCTGTGTGATCAAGTACTATGTGCAATTCTGGCCTTATTTCTGAAACAAGTGGGTTTCTTGATGACGTGCAGGAAGTGCAGCGGTTTCAGTGATCAAGTTCCTTTACATCCTAAAGCTGAGAGTGTCTTGCAAGCTAACAAATTGCACAGCCCACACTTTTGCGGCGAAGTCCTGTGCACCTTGGAAATTGTGGCATAGCCTAAGGAATCAGAAGTGTAGATGTTTTTTTTTCATAGATTTGTACATTGGGAAGTAGTAGCAACAGTATGAGTACCTCTCAATAGTCAACGCATGGAGATTCAGCCGAAGTCTCGGGTATCGGTGCCAGCTCCTTTGCAGAGACATTTTGGAAGAAGTCGTTGTCGAAGACATAGATTTGCCTCGCAATTTGAGCAGTGATATAACATCTATATGGTCTATATGGATTTGATTGAAAAAATGAGTTTGATAGTAAAATGATTGCGATTGGTGGGCCTCCAGCTCTGTCCGTACCCATATGAATACACGATAGTTTTCGTTGGTCGGTGTAGCGGATTGGTTGCCACTATGTTAACCAGCATGTTAGCATGTTCAACAATAAGCCATAAGAATCCTCAGCCTTATCGGTATGGTGATCGTTGCGCGGTGAGCCGGACGCTCGGAACGAGTGAGTTCCGTAAAAGAGGTTTGATCCGGACCTATTGAAAAGGATTGAAAAAGGTACATATTCCAAAGTCGCCTTGTGTAAGCACAACTTGTCACTTTTGATCACCTTTGGATATGGATCAAGGGTACGGTATGGATCATTTCCCCTAGACCACGGGCATGGATCTGGGCTATGGTCCAGGGTATGGATCGGGGCCTTACATTTTGAGCCGCGGCCATATGACACACTCCCTGTCCAGTTCCAAGCATTTGCTGTCAGCATCCAACATCATGATGACGTGAGACAAGTTGCTGCGAACCATTCAACTTGGACAGAATGTTCCTGTGACACAGTGAGGGACAAAGAATGGACAAAGTATATGACGAAATCATGAACCATGAAAAATCACTGAAAAATCCGTCAGCAATTGCTATGCACGCCAAGATTCCCATTTATGTTTTGTTTGTCTGTTTCCAATGAAAACATGCAAACAAATTATATATAATTATATACTTATACCAAGTCGCAAGAAAACCAAAGGATGCCAATTGCCTAGTAAAACAACCATTCGTAAAATTGAAGAGCAACATGTGTGATGTTGGAACCATTGGGTCCAACTTTGAGAACACCTCGTGAGGCTGGAGGAAGGCACCTCAACGGAAGGATGCGAGAGGTTTGCCCGTCCAGCAGCGCTGCTTGCGCCGGGCTAAAGACCTTCAAGGCCCTGAGTCAGGGGGAGCACCATCCCAAGTACCGAATTGGAAACAATGCACGAAATTCATAGAATATGTAGATACAGACCAAGAAATAGTGTTTGGATGTGTTTGGTTAACACACCTTGAATCTAGACTGCAAAAAATCACCTCTGGGATCATATAAACAACCCGGCAAATTTCCTGGGGATGCTTGTGGAAAATGGTGTGTGGTATTTTGCACCAACCTGGCCCGTGTTTAGCAAACCATGGCGTGCTTTCCATAAATTAAAATGCCAAAAAATGCCAGTTTGGGGGGTCGGAAAAAATCCTCAACCGGTGAAAGGTGGGCCGTTTTCTGAACACACCCTAAGCTTAAACCTGAACCTTTTACGCTAAACCCCAAACCGTAATTAGGATTCTTGATCATCCCAATTGAATGGCAGAACAGGATCCTGGGAGGATGTTGGGGGTGTTGGAGGCTTACAAATACCATGAAAGTAGGAGGTAATATGATGGAATCTGCCAATGTGTGATGTTGAAAGAGCCAATGGCCAAGCCTGATTCATCTTACCTTTTGGGAGCTGTATTCCCAACCAGCCCTGTAAAGGTTCTAGCGCGCTTTCCGGCCAAGGCTCGTGTCACCAAACTCCATTCGCATCCCCTGCAGAGGGACCATGGGCAGCGCACCCCTTGTTTCAAGCTTTGTAGGTTGACCATAGCTGCAGCTGCCCATCATTTTTGGTTCACCAAGATATACCAAAATAGCAAAAAGGCCTTTGTTTCCAAACATCCTGATCAGTTTCTTCGTGACTTCAGAATTTCAAACCTTTAAAACAAGCCACCAGCATGGTGTTCTCCCCAAGATCTGCCTCCCCAGATCTGCCTCGTAGCTGAAAGCCCTCATGTCCCAATTTGTGGCAGGAATTGCATCTGCCACAACAGCTGGGAGATCTCGAGTCCAGATCTTCTTGCTTCCAGCAGGCAGGACCTCAAGCACGTCACCTGAGCATTAGGTGGCTGGATGGTCACTGGATGATCACTCAGGCATATTTTAATCATACAATTTTGCAATATGATGTACTTATATCTTTGTCTCATATCTATCTATTATATATATATATATGCTGTTATGTATGTAATTACGTATATACAATATATACAATATATACAATATATACAATATATACAATATATACAATATATACAATATATACAATATATACAATATATACAATATATACAATATATACAATATATACAATATATGTACATGCACAAGTCATTACACGTTGGCATTGAAGATTCACAGTGCCCCGGCTGTTGGCTGAACAGTTTCACAGTGGGCACAGCTTACAGGCCATCGCTGAAATGCCGTCCCAGTAGCGGCAGGCTTGGTCCGAGCTTGTGCCTTTTTTTGGGGAACGGAAGGACCATAAGCTGATTATGGGTGGTAAATGGGTGGTAATATGTGGTAATATGTGGTAATGTGAGTTTTAGGATGCCCATCATTGTACTGCCAAAGATTCGATCTCTGGGTCTCTGTTCTAGGTACCATGTTGTTCGCGTTGGGCCGAGTCACATTGGCGTTTCATGTAGGATTTACTGCTCACTCAACACAATTTATCAAACTCAATGCAATTCATCAAACGTTTCAATTGCAGGACACGGTAGTATAATTGTCCATTCAAATATGGGAATGATGGGTCAGAAATGGTGTATCCAAAAACGGCTGGTTGAATAAAAATGGCAAGCATGGGTGTAGTTATTGATAGTTTTTGGCCAACTGACCTGTATCGAACCCACCAGAAAGGGCCAAGCAGCTATAGCAAGTTCCATCCGCTGCACATGTCCCGCTGTCATTCGCCACAGCTAAGGCGACTAGCAGATGCAGAGTTGTCACTGCAGCTCCCATGGCGGCTCTAAATGGTTAAGGATGCATCAAACCTCCTCTTTTGGTTGAAATCTGTTGAAATTAGTTGAAGAGGTTGAAGACTTGATCTTCCAAAGGCACTGCCTCTGGCGTGCGTAAAGGAAGTGGTTGGGTCTTGTGAAGAAATGATGTCACTAAAACATAGGACAAGCCGTGGCTTGGCTTGGTGGAATTTTTTGGCCCCATAAAGGCCCCTTGTCGCCAACTCCGGGGAATGACAAGTCTCAAAGAAATGAAAGGGGGTGAAATGTGCAGAGATGTTGTTTCATTAAGTCGATGCGCTGCGCACTTGCTCCAGCTCAATAAATAAGATGAACTAAACAGGTTCAGGTTTCATGTCAAATTCGTACATATTCAGACCAAGCGAACTATTCGGATTGGGACAAAAAGGCTTCTTCATC